GCAATATGCGTTTTTGCTGCCTGTTGCAGCGCTCTAGCGCTGCATGGCAAAAACGCATAAAAAGCAGAAGTAGCTATTTTGCGTTTGTGTGTATCGTGTGCGTGTGTGTGTGTGTATGTGTGTGTGTCTGTGTGTGTGTGTGTGTGCGCGCGCGCAGAGCGGAGGAGAGGACGAAGAGCGGGAAGAGGGGGAGGGCAGCAGAGAAGGGGAAATGTGGGGGAATATGCAGAAACCAATGACAAAATCTATCGGTCAGGGTCTATCAGTTAAAGTTTTTTGATGTTGGCGCGATGTAGCCACATGCCAAGTGCATTTGCATGAGATCCTTTGTTTTTTGTCGACGCATGTATAAAAGTTAATTCTGTAAAAGCAGAAAAGAAAATGATTTAATGCTGCAAAAGGTGAGTTTGACTGCTAATAATTATGAGGATGAAAGCTGTAGAGCGGGCTGCAGTTTCAGGCACTTTCTGAAGACACAGTTCACAAAAACTTGATAGCATGGGCCATGAACAGGTAACGACTGAATAGAGAGAGTTTAAAGGCATATTCGGGGTACGAAAAATGTGATGCTAAAACTTTAAAAATTAACTAGGCCATGCGTGAAGTACAAATCTAAAGTATTTTCAGATTACTTCATTATGTAACGTTTAATCATAGATGTCAACAGCGATAGAAGCTATAGGAGATAGAAATTTCTCTGCTTTTCAATATCCACATGATTTAGAACAACAACTTGAATTTTCTTTCGGAGCAACAATTGGCCTATTCCTTGAGGTATAAATTCAAGTAAGTTTCAGACCCCAAAAAGTGTGAAAAATTCCAGTTTCTGCACTATAAACAGGACCTCGCAAGCCAGACACTCTACCATATTATTTTGTGAAATGAACAGCATTCTTTTAAATGACGAAATTTACAGATTATTCACTCTTTAAATGGTATAATTTACAAATTAAATAGTGGTCTCGTTAAATATCTGGGAACAAACAGAACTGACCTGAAAAGGCAGATTGAGGGATTGCTTGTCGGAAACAAATATTGTTAATGGGGCAGCTGGTATTGTGCAGATAAAAAATATTATTATAATTGAAAACAGCAGTGTGAATAGCCGCTTCTCTTCCTATAAAGCCTTCTAACTTAAGTTTAAACGAATATGAAATTTCAAAGAATAAGGCTTCCGGATGCTGTAGTAGTGAATTATGTCCAGAGGGCTTCTAAAATTATTGCTTGCGATCAAAAACTCCAAGAACACAGGAACAGAAGAAAATTTGCTTGCTAGAAAGCTACTTCCTTCTGCAAGGCGCAGAATTGTCCAAATGA